ATCTATTTACTTATTGTAAAAACGACTCGATAATATTTATTTTGATTTTGTGATATTATACTTTAATATTCCTTCAAAATGTTCCTTTATGTAGCCTTGTGAAGTATTTGCTGGAACTCAAACTATTCTTTTGAAATTTGCACGTTCATTACTCTCTAATTCAGCCTCACTAAAATTTTTGTAATAATTCCAAAAGAAAATGATGTTTAAAACCAATTTGGTTGGTCCTCTTAAACATTAGAGTTAAAGTGTGCATTATGAAAAATGTTAACTATTGTTGTGTGATAAACAACATCCTAATATAGTTGATTATAATTTAAATTAAAGCAGCTAGATATAAAACACGTTTTAAACGTAATATTTATATTTTGTCATATGCATAATATGTAAAACTTAAAATAATTGTATCTTTTGTAAAGTTTTTGTGAAGATCAGTAAATCTAAATTATTTATCATAGTATAACTATAGCCATCGACTATAGCATACTGGTACTTAAAAATCAAATACCAAACGGCTGTGTATATTATTTTATATAACTTTTGTTATCTTGTTATAAAATTTCCTGTGAAGTTTGTGTCCTTTTTTATTTATACACAAGCAATTGTTATATGTAATTGTTTATGCCCTTTACTTGCCAGTTTTAATGAAATGTATTGCATAATGATTGATATGATGTGGTTATTGTATGTTGTTATTGTAAAGGTTAATGTCCCGCTATTCATTGTAGATATTACACCAATTATATTTAGTAAAATTGCATATATGTATACTAGACCAATAAATATAATACTTAATGTAAATATTTACCTTATTGATTTCACCAAAATGTCCTAAAAATTAATTTGACTTTAATCTTGTTTTTGCTAAGGATTATTCATGTATTTTATATGGCCATTTTCACATATTCATCATATTACAAAAATACATTTTTTCTGTAGTATGGACGCAAAAGTTAATAATATACCAATTTTTTTTACACACACGTAATAATGGTCTCGTTTAAAAAATATGCCTTGCAAGTTGCATTGTTTAAACTTCAAAGAATCAAGTGAGTTTTAGGAGCTCTTCTAATAACTCAGCCTCAGAAAGTAAATGGTGAGATTCAAATGAATCCTCGGTCTATATCACTATCTATCGAGCTACAGTACAGGCTCCAGACTTAGGATAAGGCATGAACTTAAAAATATTGGTGAACACAACACCATAACTTATGCGAGACTTTCCTCCCACAATGCAGCAGATTTCAGGCACATAGATAGTTCTCAGCTTTTTTAGTTGAGTTATTCTCTTCCAAATGAAAGGACATCCAATGCTTCCAAATGGTTAATGTAGTCATGGCATTTTATTTTGGATTTACAAATTTAACTGATTTGATGATTTTGATAAAAAAAAACTTAAGATAGTGGACACATGAAAAAAGAAATCAGAATTAAGGCGATTTATAATTGTGTTAGCCATACATTACTAAAACAATGCTGTAGTGGATAAGAGGAAAGTGGAGTTATCCACTTGTGTTGCTGTTATCACACAGTGGACAGCTACAGTGGTACAGTATACTCTGTATGGTGGAACCTGTCTCCTGGTCCTCCATTTCGCCCAGGACTATACAAAGGTTTATGACCAGAGCCAGTCCAGGTGTCTACCTGAAGGGTGAGGAGACAAGTCCCATCATACAGTTACGACTAAAGTTGTCGAAATTCTATACCATTTACACGATACTCTGATCCCTTTGATTAAGAATTAACAGGTTTTTCAGCAAAATTTGCAAGACTTAACAGTCAAATTCAGAAGTTAAAAAAACATTCCTGGAACCCCGCTGAAACTAGTTGAGTTCTTGACTGAAATACTGAATGTCAATCTACTACACTCAAGAACATCTTTGCAGAGTGTGATAAGGAATAAGTTCTTCAACTTAAATATTTATTATCACACAGTTATCATTGATATTGAGCTTTTAAGCAATGGTAATGAGAGGTAAATGTTAGATAGAAAGAGTAGTTTTTAGACTGTTCCCTTAAAATACCAAAACTGAGAATTTTTTTTTTTTTGTGATGGGCTGGAAAGTAGAAACCGAGCCAGTTTCCAAAATTTTAGAAGTTTAATTTAGAAAAACAATACAAGTGCTATTGTTTGTTCATCACATATTTGTTTAAAATGTTCATTTAACCCTATGAGTGCCGCCACACAAGACGCAACATTGTTGTAGCTTGAATGCTGTCTTGTAGCGAGACGGTCGAGATTGCGCAAGAAATGCCGGCGTCTCGGAGCGAGATGCTCAGAAAATCACTTCATACATTATCACATTTCAATAAAGCTAGCTACAAATCACACCAAATACGACAGAAGTTGGTTGGCAACAACTATTTTGCTCTTTTACTTTTTTTATACAATGGAGCTGAGAAATGTGGTCGACCAATCAGAAACCACTACGCCATATTAGACTGCTTTACATATATGGTTCGTGTGTTAATGTTTCGACTGTTTACGTTCTAGTTCTAGTAAATGGTTGTTAACGAGTTGTTTTGGTTATAGAATTGCAGGTTATGGTCATGAATTGTTAAAAAATAAATTGTATAGGTACCTTTAAAAAGTTATAATACCACAACTTATTCGTGTGTTTGATGATAGTTTGTGGCTAATCACATAAATTGTACCGGCAACTGGACTTGGTAACTTAGGCCTATAGGTGCATGATTTTATTTTGACCGTTTGTATATTTTGTGCACAGCTTCTAATAGTAATTCGAATAAAAAAAAAATAAACACATAAAATACAGTCAAATGTAAAATGATATACCGGTAGTTTAGTCTGTAACAGCACAAGACTTAGAGCATGATTTAGGTTGTTTGCTGGGTAGGGCCGAGGCCCCACTAGAAAAATACCCCCGCCGCAGCAAACCTGCAGACTAAGCGAATTTCAACTTGTCTGATTACATTTTTACTAAAATATTTCCATAAATAAGACAAATTTATTCCCAATTTAAATAACATTAGATTTAACAAGTGCTTAGGTTTGCTGCTACGGGGAAGGTAAAAAGTGTTTTTTGACCATATATCAATAGTATAGGATGAAATAAATAAATTTGCCAAATTTTATCAATATATATCCATAAACAAGTAAACTACAAAAGTTTTCATTTTCTCCATAAGAATAACATGGGAATTTTAAATTACAGTTTTTTTTTTATTTTCTCCGTGACCGTTAGGCATACAACAGCGCTTCAATATATTAAATTATTTCTTTTTTTAAGCTCTACAAAATGGTTGAGAAAGAAATTGCAAAATTTTTTGTTTTTAGGGTAAAAAATGGGAAAAAACCATTTTTACCCCATAAAACCCCCCATAAACGCCTGTTCCCATGGTCCGATTATGCTGGTTCGCGAACTCGTTCAAATAAACGTAGGTTTACACGTTTGTACCAAATTTCATCAAAATCGGATCATTTTTGCTCGAGTTATCGCGCTAACGGACACATATATAAATATATATATATGAATTTGAACGGATTGTGTTTTTGGTCTCTGGGGACCTCAAAACGAAAAAGTAAATTGGTCCCGGGTCTAGGTCTTACCATGAGACCTACGGTAATAGCTTATTCCCTATATGGGAAATTCGCTAACAGGCCATGCTGCAGCGCAACACTACGTCACAGTGGTGGATAGTTGTACTAAAATCTTACCATTAAAATCTGACAAACAGCCAGCTTATTTACCTAAAACGTATGGGATATGGCAGTGAATCTTCAATGAATCTATCCACTAATGTGACGTCATGGATTCTGCAGCATGGCCTGTTTTTTTTAGTGGGGCCTAGAATGTTTTTGATACCTCTTTGTAGTAGATGTTACATATTTTTGACATATTTTATAATAAATACACTTGTTATACATGATTTCTCTTGAGTTTTGAATGCTCTTTAAAATGGATGTAAATTTGAATGTCAAATAATTCCTTTCTATCTGTACATTGTAACATCTGTTCAAATGTTTAGAAATTGTTTTTTCACCACACTATGATGTTTTTAGCTGTATTACACACGTTAATTGGTGGCTCAAAGTTATGTTTTGCTGGCCATGCCAGCTGTCATCGTAATTTGGGGACCGAGCAGGTTTTTACAGCCCGGGGCCGCAAAATCAGCTGTCCGCTTACTTACTTAAAACATGCATTTTAAAACATTTAAAACATGCAAAACAATGCATTTTAAATACACAATCAAAATCCATAGCATTGCAATAGAATTGTGTTATTGTCACCGTTGCCTAGCAACTATTTATTTTTATTTTTGCTGATTCCTTTAATTATTTCTTCACATAACCTTAAAGTTGTAGTTGTGTTGACTATCAGTGTGCATTATTATAGTGGTGAATAGTGGTAATAGGGTATAGTGTGGTGAAAAATAGCGTTCGTACCACGGACCGAAATGGTTTTGTAGCTCTCGATCGATTTAAGTTCTCGACTTCGTCTCGAACTTAAGAACTATCTCGAGCCGGCAAAACCTCATTTTCGGCCCTAGGTACGAAATATACTATTTTTTTACTATGATGTTAGGCGGTTCATATTGTTAGCTTTATATCACGCTAGATTCAACATCAATAAAGCCTAACTAAAGGTAATTTTGTTTTATTCATTCAATCTACAACAATGAATAATTTTAAATTATTTTATTTTAACTCATGAAACCACCAACTAAAATTAGTATTTTACACTGCACTATCTTATAATCTACAAAACAAAACAAATTTAGGCCAAAATGTTAATAAATAAGTATTTTATGAAGATAAGATTTTCCTAAACACCTACATTGATGTGGAGAAATGGCCGGCATTCCTAGAAGCAACACCATATGTAGGCCTGGCAAACCTCAAATAAAATTGTTTCACCCGCTCGAGGCACTCAAAGGGTTAAACTTTACTACATAATTGAAGTACTAACGCCAAACCATCATTAATTCCTGAACAAATAAAAATGATAAGATGGAGGGAGACAAGTAAGAGGTACAAATAGTGATTAATTATGCCATAATTATAGTAGTATTTTGAATTTTTTATTCCAAACCCAACAACACTTGGAAATCAATCAATTTACACAATCTAGTTTATAACAAACAGTTTACTACAAATAAATGACATTTTGTAGAATACCCTAGACATTAAAATAAGAGGTTCAAAATACAGATATAAACCTAATAGTAAAAACAAGATTAAGACTGAGAGTTTATGTACATGCTTCAATCACTGGTTTCGTCTTTCTGGCGATCAGATTTCTTAGACTTCTTCTTCTTGTGGCTTCGGTGACCAGGACTGCGACTTCGGCTTTTATGTTTCCTTGATCTCCTTTCGGTCGATCTACTTCTGGACCGATGTCGGTGTCTATGGAAATAAAAGCTTAATCAACAAATTGAGATATAAAATAAAATTGACGATCCTAACCTTGCCAAACAAAATGAAGCCCTGTAAACAAATTAGCGCTGCTTCAAGTGGACGGTAAAGACGAGCTGACCCCCCAGGTATTTTACTATTTGTCTCATTTTCTTGTTTTTTAGTTCCAGTCACATGACTCATTCAAGATTTGTACCCACCTAAAAAGTCCATTAAGTTGTTTATGAAAAATCAATTATACCAAAATGTTTGATGATTACCAAAAACAACAACAAAATAATTTAAGTCAAATTTTTTGTACAATAACCATGAGATTTCAAGCTAAAACCTAACTCACACATTACATGACAACTAGTCTACTAATATGTTCTTGTTTTTGTATACAAAGATTAGAATTATAGTTGATAAACATTTCCTAACGATTTATTTCCCAATTTCTTAGATCCAAACACACACCACTTTAAGTTTCCCAATTAAATAGTCTAAGTTTTAGGCCTTTTGATTATACGGAATCCTCCTTGATTCCTCCAAACCCTCACAAATCTGGACTGTCTATTGATTGAAACTGTGAAACCCATTGACTTGTAAGCCACTATTTTGAACAAGCAAGAGTCACCTCACCTGTCTCTATCACGATGCCTGTCGCGATCACGGTCACGATCCCTATCTCTTTCTCTGTCCCTATCACGATCTCTGTCTCTTGATCTTTCATCGTCTTTCATGTCAGGATCCAGCGGTTCCTGCTTGATCACCTTGTCTAGATTCTGCAACACAATGGTGTAAAAATATATATTTACACATGGAAATAAATGCATTCATTAATAATAGAAACAATAAATTACACGCGAATCCATATTCCTAATTTAGGTTATCTAATGGTAGTTTACGCAACCATGGCATAAAGATAGTGTTAACGACACATAAGGTACGAGCCTTGGCGAGTGTCGTTAACACTATTTATGCGAGTTGCATACACTACTTTACCTACGGCAGTGTTTTAATTACTTAAAATCACTACTCATAACTTCTAATAGATCTTACGTTATCGTTTATAACCTCTCATTGCTACTGACAGTGATGCAACGAAACATTGAACCAAACACTACTTGCACCACTCGAGAATTAAATTGGCCTGAACAGCTGATTAGTTGAAGTTCGAATCATTACCATTTTACTTCTCTGTCAATCCTTGAACCTCATTGGTCCGTTACCCGTGTTGTTATGTGAAACTTTTCAATTCTAAGAACTGAAATGTAACGGCTAGACTTAAAAAAAAAAGTTGTAGGTAAAGAAAAAACATTGAAATAAATGCATTAGTTATCATTTGAAAACACAAAAAAAGCCTATCTTTTCTTCTATTATTCTTCTTTTTTACTCAATTTGGTTCTTTAAAAAAATAAAAAATATATAAAAATTAAATAAGGTTTATAAATTAAAATAGTAACTATAACCTTAGTCACAACAATGTAATGTAAAGTAGATGTGGTTTAAAGCGATAATATTTTATGGCAAGTAGACTTTTCATTTTATTTAAAAATTTGAAGCCATGTTTTACACAACAATCTTACCACACTCAAACCAGACAAAAAATACTTTCAATTTGTTGATGTAAGTTATCTTCAGCTACATTTTGAGGTAAAATGTCTAAAATAAAGCAGTTTCTGCAACTAAAAAGTTTACGAAGTATTTGAAGTAAATTACCTGAGCATTCCATTGTGAGTCTTGAGTCGGCTCGTATGCATAGTAGGGATCAACTTCTGACGGGTAAAAGTCTGCTCCGTAGCCAGGACCGAATCTGAAATTATATTTTTTACTTAACTGAAGTCAGTATTTCACAGTTTAACTTCCTACTATACCTATTTAGGTTTAATACAAAAATATCACTTAAAATAACATGAGTTCAGAGTACAGTAGAACCCCTCATATCCGGCCTTGGTTTTACCGGTCCTCTGTTTATCCGGCCCCTTCCAAGAAGCCAATATCAAAATGTTTTTCTCGCAGCTTACAGACGTTTAGATGCAAGCACTAGTCTTTGTGACCGCTCAAGTCATAAAATAAATTGTTCTCTTTACTTTTCTATTTGTATAAACATTTACTTGCCGAGTCACTATACTCAGTTGAGCTAGAAGGCCTAACCTCTGATCAGTTGGTTGATTATTTCCAAAGTGGGGTTAGTACAGTAGAATACATTGATTTTTGTATTTCACAAAATGGATAAGAATGTTGAGTAGAAATGCATGTACCAAGTAAGTCCTAATGATCTTCAAGTACAATTTATTGTCATTTTTACCTCCATTTAATAGGGTTTGTTACCTGAAATCATAATATTTGTACATTTATTACTTAATGACTTTAACCTACAAATATTTTTTTTTTTTACAAACATGTTTATTTTTCTAAAAATGATCCCAGAACAGAATTAAATGATACTTTTGATTGCATATATTAATTACCTATTATTATTAGGTATGAATTATCATTTTCATAGTAGGTTGGTTTATCCGGCCAAATCGTTATCCGGCCAGGGGCTTGGTCCCGTGGTGGCCGGATATGAGGGGTCCTACTGTAGTCTATAGAGATTTTGTAAACATTTAGATTTAATTGAATCCGTAATAAAAGTTGGTACTGACATATCTGGTTATACAGACCACACCTAATAATTATAACCCAACTTAAGGGTGGAATATGTTTTTGGTTAGGTTAGGAAGATTTTGTTATTTAAACTAACTATTGGCTATAAATATAATGTCAATGGTTATACTTAGCGTTATTCTGGCCAATGTGGCTGGTTATTCAGTTAATATAGCTATACATTGGAGTTAACAAACTAAATGAAATCATTTTTATACAACAAACATTGCTTGTGCAGTGCATTCATAATGTTACCTAATCCGATTATTTTTCAGCAAGCCTAGAGAGTAATTCATCCGAACCAATGGGGAGTTAGGGGTGTTCAAAGTGCTGATTTTTTTTTTAGATAAAAAAAATTTTAATTGGTCATTGAAAGTAAAAATGATCATTTAAGCTTTCATTAATGGCATTAAAATTCATGTTTGTATTTATTGTTGGTTTGGATCATCTCCTGTGATGATACGAGAGCATATATTGCAGTCTCAGCGAAAACCAGTGATCGGCTCTAGCGACCGAGGCAACACCGTGATCGGCCTTAAGGTTAACTGACATTTTGGATGACTAGGCCTCGGATAATCGACGCTCTACTGTAGTTACGTAATAAGACATATCCAAAAGTTAAATTTTAAATTTACAGATTATTTTATGGATTAAGACGTTTTTGGTAATCTGACCTGTAAGGAATCGACAGGGTGTCAACAACTATAAATTTCAATTCACACATACCCAATAGGACATTTAGGAGAACCAATGACAATACCAACCCTGGAGCAGATCCAGCAATATGTGGGGGAACCATTCCGGGAGGGAAGTCCGGAGGTGGGACACCAGGAGCAGGTGGAGGGACGCCCATCATGTCAAACCCTTTACGACTGTACTCTCGTCTGTCTGCCGTCATTACCTGGAACAAAACCGGGTCTCAAAACATGTTAATATAAGATCTGACCATACCAGGTATGATGGACCAAGCCTACAGATTGAAAATTAAATAATCTTCCCTAAGGTATTTTTTCACCCAAAGGCTTTATGGGACCAATTAAAAAATGTGGATAAAAATCTTACAATCCACAGGCGAAAGCAGAAAAATAAGCCAAATATCATTGAACAAACCAGCCTTGGCTGCAGGGGTGAAATGGTTAGTTGAACCTCTAAAAATATCATTGTAAACCAGGATTCGTTAAAAAAAATTATTACACCTACCATTTTCTTAGTTCATTAAACATATTGTCAACCACAAAACTAAAAGCATGATTTATATTTTATTGGTGTGGGTACCAGAACTCCGTTTCACTGCGATACTGTACATTATAAATGGTTACTTGTACCGTAATATAAGACAAGATTTTTGATAGGTGAAGTCTGTGCTCGATTTGTGGCAGAACGCAGTAAAACGGAGTTCTGGTACCTTTTTTTTGGAAATATAAAAATATTAGCATAAGGTACAAATCACATTAAATAGGTTACAGTGCCGATCCGACAACTCATTTTTTACAAATCGAGTACTGAGTGAAATAACAAAAAAATGAGTTAAATGAGGTTCAATGATGAAAACTAAGTATATAATCCCAAAGCTGATTTTAAGTGCAATATAACATAATGAGATGATAGCAAGAAGCAGAATTCAGTGAAAAATTGGTTTAAAACAAACTATTGACTACAGCAAGTAGACTTCTTATCTTTTTTAGAAGATGAAATGCCTTCCTGATGAGTTTTGACAAGCTGTATTTCTCTTTATTCAATTATCACATAATGGGGCTTTGTTATTATTTTTTTATATCAAAAAGGGTATTTTTACTAGAAAAACTCCAATAAAACACATACTATACCTACATCGAACAGAAATAACCCTTAAAAAACCCACCAGCTAATCAATAAAGATAGAAAAACAAGTGTCCACTAAGTTGATCACACAAATTTTCAGTGACTTTAGGGGGGGGGCGGGCACGACATTAAAATGCACGATCTTTGGTACCGATACTTTCCTATGACTTCAACATCAGATAGTCGGGCCTACAATATTTTTTGCCGTAATGATTTTGAGCTGGTTGCCTGCTCCCAAAATATGTTCGCTCTCTGATTCTGCACTATGAATTTAATCATTAAACAAAAGGCAGGTTTAGGAAACTTTATTTTAGTTAGACCAAATTTTCCGTGACTTTTGGGGTCCAAAAATGAAAATCAGTGACTTTTCAGTGACCGGTAGCTTCTGTATCCAATAGTTAATGCCGGCAGACACCCTGAAAAACTATAACGCAGCATCATAATCGTCATAATGCAACCAACTGAGACTTATCTAACTAAGCTTATTATAGGTACTACTTAATGCAAATTAAGTAAATTAATTTGAAAATATTTGCTTGATTGACCATTCCAAACGCTGTAAGGCCTATCCTAATTTCCGAACAGATGTCTTCATATATTGGAAATATCAAATTCTGACGTCATCTAGGCTCCATAGCACTTTTTGTATAAGTAAATTATTTCTAAATTCTAGCTAAACTAGATTACCACAAATGAACAATGGGCTTAATCATTTCTACTTCAGTATTTGCAGTCAATGGAAACCCCCACTAACGTGATACATACTTGAAATGTGCAACACTAGTCCCACCAATCGATGTTTACAATTCTACTTACGTATTTGGAATATCCAGAGTGTCGATGGCTGTAGTGAGAAACCGGCTGGAAAACAATAATGGGGTGAATTTGGGTACAAAGCTACGCTGCCTTTCCCACAAGCAACTAGGCGTTGTAAACGCTGAGAACTTTTGGGGTTTTGTGGATATAAAAGGAAAGGATTCTATTAAAACCATTAGTAGAAGTTGCTACATAGGCCTACAGTGTGTAATTCGAGTTCTAGCAACAAGCCAAAACCAAATTAAACATCAAGTTAAATAAATCAAAAGCAGGTATGTTAAAGTTAATCTAAAGGTCAAGGTTTTTTAGTTGGCTAACATAACAGAAAATACAAAATCTAAATCAATAGGTAATTAATTCTGGATAATAAACAGTAAGAACTGAACTATTAAAAAATAAGTTTTGTTCAGTATACAAAAGATTAAAAGTTGAAGAAAAATAGAAGTAATACAAAGAAAAAAAATCAATTTAGTCCCAAAATTTGAACCGCAACCATTGTAGATTAGGATCATTTATTACAAACATTAAAGATATAAGAAAACAAACCTTATAGTTAAATATCTACAAAATAGCCTGTTAGGGCCTATCTTTCTCGATCAAAAAAACACCTTTGCTAATAAACCATCTAGGTCTCATGCAATTTCGGAAGTACAAGGATGAGGGCAAGGCTAATACGACTATTTTTACAAAATAGGACACACTTAAGTGGAAGGAAAATAATAATACGCACCTGAATGATATTTTCCTTGGGAGGACTTTCGTTGGTGCGCCGCGTGGGTAGACTCTGTCCGCCGATGACGTCTATGCAGCCTGTATTGCGTCGCCCGGGCTGGGGTCCCTGGGGCATAACCTGGACCATCTGAGGCCTCGTCCCACCAGGCATAGGCGCTATCACGTTGCCGCTGAGCGGTCCCAGACCTACGCCACTCTCGTGGGTCCTCATACGCTTCTGACGCTCGCAATACGCACGCCAAGTGTCTTCATTGAACCCGTAGTTGAAGTAATCTGAAGTATTCATGGGTCGTTTTAATATTATAAGTTACAAAAAATGAGTTCTTAGTCACAATTAAAATTTAAAATATTCCCTCTTAGACAATTTAGTTTTACAAATATTTAAAAAAAATTTTAAGGTACAGTAAGACTTTATTTGAATTGTGAAAGATCTTGCTCTAGCAAATTTTTACCGACAATTGAGGGCCTTTTACTTAACATGTTGTAGGGCCCAATGATTTAATTTTGGACTTGAATTATGGATGAAATAACAAACATATTCATTACACTTGGTGAGTAACGAATTCATTCAACAGACACATCTTTAAGGATTGTGAGTTTGAAAGAGTTCAAGTAGGGTACCTATACTTGTAATAAAATCTGCTTGAGTCAAATAACATAAAATAGTAGTAATTGGTCCTTGCTGAACCAGTAGAAATTTAGCACTTGATGCCATTTTAAGTCTTATGTTAATAAATAGTCTACTTACACATAAGTCATTAGGGCCTAACGATTATGTCAACATAAGTTAATTAACGGGGAACCCAGTATTATAATCCACGATGATGATGTAAATGCAAAACACACTCTAATATATTGGCCTACATATTGAATTTAAAAAAGACAAAATCAGATTTAAAAATTTGGTAATGAATTGATATAAAATTGGAGCAAGATGTTTACCTGTGATATCAGCACCAGGTTTACGCCAAGGTTTATCCTCCAAGCTGTCCAGGTTGTATTCATGAGCTGCGATTCCGTTTATGGTTCCAATCTGCTCAAACTCTTCGATGGAAAACTTACCCGGTTGCTGAAAAAATATTATAATTTAAGAAAACAAGTTTTTATCAAGTTTACTTTGTAATAAAGCACTCTTTGAATTGAAATAACAGCAATTACAACTAACTTGCAAGTATGATTTTACCTTGAGTTGAGGTGGTAGGCCAGCATTTGTCAGCAGCCCGCCCCGTTTCATATTAAGGGCACTGTACTGCGGTGCCGTGCGGATATCGCCAATAACAACGTTGACAGTGTCGTCTTCGCTGTCATCATCTTCTTCAAATTCCCCACCTTCGGTCGGCAAGGCTTCACCATTGTCTAAAAAATTTGTGTTAAAGCAGTCGGTAAAACAACGTCATTATTTGATTATTTGACCAAAAGCTCGCTCAGTTAACACACTTAGCATGATCTCTAACATTGTATAGTATTAAGACCTTGCAAGCAGTAAGTACTATCTGATTGCTCGACGTAGTTAATTATGCCGCAGTCAAGAGCGAATGACAATAATTTTTAAACGTTATCACTTCATCTAAATAAATGCAGTAGAATTTTTTCTGATCCCAAACAGAACAGTGTTCATCAAGAACTGAGGAAATAAATTACATTATAAACCACATATGTAGTCAGTTCGTCCACTGAGACCCGACCGACTACTAAAAATACTCTCTAGGTAAGAAAACGAGGTGGAATATCCAAATGGAGAGGCTAGCCAGAGAGGTACCAACTATGCCCTCCGCTGCCCCAGCAGATTTTTACCCGTAGTCAGAGACAAAAGCTACAATAAGCATCACTCTAGTATCTGCCTGTTTTTAACTCCACATTCATTCATAATCTGCTTTGAATTGGCTATACATACAAGTTGATGTCTTTAAGTAAATATCAGTCATTCATTGTCCCACAGGCCTAAGTTTTATTCCTATTGAAAAATACGACTCACCAACACCAGGGGGTTGAAGAGGTTCGTGGCCCTCGTCAATCTGAAGATTTCCTTCACCGTCACCTTCTTCGTCATGTTGAGAATCACCATTCTGAGTTGGAGGCAATATAACAGGTGGTTCCAACACCCCTGGTGGCTACAAGACAAATAAAGAGACATTAAGTTACTATACAAACAATTCATCAATTTTCATCTTTTGTTGTTCAAACTTTATCGTGTAAAGCAAAACAACAGCAAGGGACAATGGTACAATGTTACCATGTTGAATTAACTGCGTGATCCATAATCTCCTTCCCCCCTATTACCCCTAATAAACAAGATTGTAAAACAGCATATATGCCTAAGCCTAACTTAGTTAACGTCAAGTTAATAATTTAATAAACCGCTGAAAGTAACTTCATCACATTCTATATAAGTTGATTAGTAGGACGGCCTATTCACACGATAAGTTAATGTAGGCCTAGTCTAGATTTAGTTGGAGATTCAGTTTGATTAAGGCATGTGAGTCTTAATTTAACCCTCCAACTGGCAGCGGTAGGTGGCTATTGTAGTGGCAGCGACTATTTTCGCATTTTGCAAGGTTTTGTAACCCTAAATGAATGGTTATACTGTTAGAGAAATAAGATTCTAAAATTACTTTGTTACATAGGTGAACTTTATCTCACAAAGGGATCACTGTATTGAGCACTAAAGTGAACAAAAATTTCGAGTAAAGTCAGTTGCACCATAGTAGGCTACGATGGCTACAAAACAGCCAAACTTTACATGGTAGGCCTATGTATAAAAAATCATAACAAGGGATATATTTTGTCTACAAAGAAACGGATGGTAGTCCTACCACTGCAATAAGGAAGAAATTATGGTGCAAAAAAGCATTTTGATATAATTACATATGATTTCTTGCAACAACAAAAAATCAATCAATTTTTACTTGTTCGTGAAGTGGCATAGCGACTATAGTCAACTTTTAGCCTATAGTCGCAGTCATAAAACATGTTTTATTCACTGAATCCATCCAGTGGTTTATGTGTGATTGAACTTCAAACAAACAAACACACAAACTTTCAAATTTATAATATTAGTAAGATAAGATAATAGTTATTGTGCCTTGGCTGAAATGTGACATTAGCCTACTTTTAGAAACTTGAGACACTAAGTACGTTTTTTTGTGAACATTATTGACTGCTTACAAAAAATGATGGTATTGATCGTTAGGCGGTTGTGACTATGACTTAATCACTTTGAAACATATTTATTGTTTGTAAATTTGTACATATATTTTAGTTTGTAAACTGTTTCTTGTGCTTGACTTGGTATTTGGGTTAACGTATGTGTTTAAAGAATAATATAGCCTAAGTTACAGGTTTGAATAACAAAATGTTTTTCCAAAAAAAAAATATAAGTTAGCCTAAAGATTTGTAGAAGACATAAAATATATAATTAGTAGGCTATTGATAATTTTCCACAAACAACTCTTACTTCATTAAATTTTGATCTCTAGAATGGAGTGAGGGATTGGGAGCTATTTTATTTTTAAATTTTGTATTATTTATTTTTTAAACAAAATTGTAAATACGTTACAGTTTAGGCATTCTAAAGGGGTTTCATCACAAATTATGGGTAATTGTAATCTTGTGTTTGATGTATAAAAAAAAAATTAAGCCGTGTTTTTTCCAAATGTTAAACATGTGGCAAAACTTTAGCGTGGTAGTATTTTGAGTTATTTTTTATATATTATATGTTAATAATCATACCAAAATGTATTTTTTGAAACATTAAAGGTTTAAGCAATAGCCTAGTTTGTTAGGGCTTTTAAATAAAAAAAAAAAAAATAAAAATTAATTTTTATTAATTTGTTAAAAAATGGGTCCCAATTACCCCGGTGTGGGGAAATGGGACCCATATTTTTTATCCCACATATAATTAATATTAATGTTATAATTAATCCCACATATAATTAATCAATAATTAGCCTATATGTGGCTGCAGTGGTGATTATCGTGTATTATGTGTAAAAACAGAATTTTGAAGTAGGTCCCAATTACCCCAGCATGGAGTAATTGGGAACCAGTCTCATCGCGTGGTTACATCGGGTTGGAATCACAGATGTACAGAAAAGTAAAAAATTTATTTTACAACCACTTGATAAGAAACTCGGGCCTAAAAAGTGAGCTAAGCCCATAATTGGCCTATTTTAACTTATATTTGGACTGATAACTACCATTTATTAGAAATTCTTTCGGCTGAAAAAGCAAAATCCCGGAAAGTTTGGATATGACCAGAAAAAAAGTTTGACATAAAATATATTTGTGGTTTTTTTTTTTATTTAACTAACTTGGGCCTATACACGTCTTTAACAGTTTAAATCTATATTTTCTGGCTGTTATCTGCTCTGGTTAATTTTTCCTATTTTATTAAGAAAAAAGTGTAATGTTTTGGAAAAAATAGTTTGAACTGTTGTAATGTCTAAAAAATTTTTTTCAATAAAAGTATGTTGCATTTTGTTTATTATGTTTTCATTTTTTGGCCCCTATTAACCCCACAAATTAATATTAGGTGCTTATGGGTTTATAAGCATAAGCATTATAAGCATTTCCCTGACCGCGGGAGTGGATGTTGATGTCCAAATGGCCGCAGGAGATAATCAGAATTTTGCCGCCATCGCGGAAGACCTCACCCGTCAAAAGACGCCGGGTTACTGGAGTGCCGGATTAGAGAAGTTCTACTGTATATGGTTCAATTACTTAGGTTTGCTCTGTTGGTTTAACTACCAGTACCTTAATATGAATTTTTGAAAACATGACGTCAAAATTGCCTTGCCACTAAGACAGAGTTCACCCATTGCCAGTTGGAGGGATAACACGTTCGCTGCGGGCCACTCACCGGTGAGTGCTCTAGTTCCTTTCTGCCACGCTGAACACTCACCGGCATCACCTACATTCTATTCAATTTCTGCGCAAGAGGACACCAGGAAGAAAAGGTACTTTTATGTCTGCGTTTAGCTAGGAATGGGTGCATTAAGTATTGTGGTGTAGGTTTGTAGTAAATTTCCCTGTAAAATCCCCTTCTGGCAAGCTTAGAGATCAACTTGTTGTCCCATCTCTCTCCCTCTAACTGGGAATAATAATAGGGCTGGCTAGTACCAGGCAGTGCTGCTAATAACTTATCTGTGATTGTCGGACTGAATTATTTGAAAGCCAAGAGGGGTTGCTCGAAGGTACCCATTGGTGTGCCGCAGCAAAAGTGTTAAGGGGCTACATGTCCAAAACAATTTTGGATGAACCTCAAGGATAAATACGGTAAATATCCTCATTACGGACTAAGCTATAGTACAGACTTGGGTACAGTTTCTTAACTGGGCTATGCTTATATTGATTGAAACTACCGATTCCATTAGTAAACCTTCATGCGATTTTTTCACCATCAGCAAGTTTGGTCGGTTAGGTTAGCCTAGGTTATGATAGTTTTATTTTATAATAGATATATTTAAAAATTCGATTATTAATCAGTATTTTCAATTCGATAGTTTCAATCAATATTAGCATAGCCCAGTTAAGAAACTGTACCCCAGATTAATTCAAGTACAGTGGCCCTATCCCTCTATCTAGGCCTAGAAACATCAGTTACAGGTTAAGATACAGAGATGTAACGGTAAGACATACCTGAGGTTCTGTTCCTGGAGGTGCATCAGGATTTATGTAAGAATCTATGTCCTTTGGTTGGTCGTTATCATTGTTTTCACTCGACGGGTCAGGATTAGAATCTCCATAAAGCCACTGTTCTTCGTTGACAGAATCATCACCGAGATCCGCCATTTTCGATCTAATCAAATCAAATCAAATCATTCAAATCTAAAAATCTAAAATCTAGCGATCAAGCGATCTGGCGTTTCGTTCTTCATCTTTTCCTTTACGTTTTTACCCTATTGCCACTACAACAATGTTAAATATTGCCCAACTTGGGCTATGCCATAGATTAAAATTCAATGCTCTAATTGGGTATCACCATAGATTAAGCATACTTGTGCTAGTTAGTCTTAATACACGACCACCACTAACTACAGGCCTCGGTGGAGTTAAAGGTGACTGTGCTTAATATAATTAATGTAACACTATATTACCAATTGTTTTATTTTGTATATGTAATACATTTTATCGAGTTTTATACTGAAAACTATAAAATTTTGTGAAACTTACAGTATTATCTGACTTTATTGTATTATTAATAATAAAAGTATCGATTCGTGGTTAGCCAAACTAACCTAAATGCCTAAACTATCAAAAATGGCCGAAATGAATATTTTGATATCAATTGTATCAATCGATAATGCAATGGAGTTCAATATCAAAGTTTTTTTTCCAAAATTCAGGAATACTATCTCGTAAATTGAAAATTAATGAGTTTATAGCTGTAAAAGTGAATCGCATGAATCTATTACAACGGCATTAATTTAAACTTTATCTACTTCCTACCGCCCCTCAGCTGGAGTCAGATTTGAACCACTTCAAAATACAAATAAAATACTGTAAAACAATACTCTTGGCCAAGAGTTACTAACTACAGTGTCTTCTTGCATGGTGGAAGAGTGTCTTGATTACCTGATTGATTGTACCTTTATCACCTCCTCCTTTGCCTCCCTAAGATCAGTTTGCACGGGATGTACCGTATAGATAAAACACACACGATAAACTTGTGTCCCTGACAAAAAGCCTGCGTACAAGAACCAAGCTATACCCTACATAAAAAATAATAAAACTAATAACATTACCTGTAAAGTAATCAATATAGTTTATTTATAAAAAACTTCACAAAAGTCAATAACAGCTATTATTTTTATTTGAGTGTATTTATGCCTTTGTTTATTTTATCAATTTTCCTTCCACCATGATCCAGAATACCAGATCCCGTCAAAACATGTACTGTAATAGTATATTACGTTACTAGTCCGGATTCCGGAAAGTTAAGCCGCGTTTACACCGGAGTTTGAAACACGAGTTGCAAACAGAAATTGCAAACATCTCTAAAAACGCCCATTTTCAGACGAAACTTTTCGCTGTTGCAAACAGTTTTTCGGTGTTTGCAACAGAAATTTGTGTTTCCACTTAAAGTCGGTAAAGATCAAAGGGAGTTGCAAACTCTTTGTTTGCAACACTAGTTTCGGTCACTATGAGCCGATGAAACACAAAACAGAAACATTTCTCCGCCATCCCCTACGCTACCACCACCTGTCTCACTCACGTGATCACTCGCACCACCCTGTATCTCGACTCAGTACCCTGTCTGGACGGCTACCTCGTTATTGTTGTGACTTATCTCGTATCGTGCGTGTTGTGAGTGATGATCTACTGAGTGAGATGGAGTGAAGAGATTACAATATTATTAAGTTAATTAGCTTTTATAGAGAACATGAAGTGCTTTGGAATCAAACTATTTCTGACTATAAAAACAAAAACAAGAAAAACTATGCGTGGAATGACATTTCACGGGAAATTAACTTAAGCAAGGCAGAGGTCCAAAATAGGATGAGGAACCTCATAATTCAATTTAACAGATAATCTAAAAAGGGCAATAAGTCTGGATCGGGGGCCAACGATGTTTCCCATCGTTGGTTATCCACCAAGTGGGAGTTTTTTTTATCAATCAATGATATTTCAATCAAGGTCGAAATTATTTCAAACATTTTCATGAAACATGGAAACAAAACCATGAAATAAAAATTGCAAACATTTATTTGAAACTACTGTTTGCAACTGGTGTTTGCAATAAAAGTTTGCAACTTTTTGTTTGAAACTCCGGTGTAAACGCGGCTTTAGTGTTTACCGGACGAGTGTGGTCGTTCCCGTGCGAGACGAAGTCGAGTACGGGATTACCATACGAGTCCGGTACACACATTTTGGACGAGTTACGTACGATAGTTTACGCCATACTACTTAATCCGTACAAATCCTTATATATTTCCACCAACTAAAGGACTAAAAATCACTAGTCATGAGAGGTTATGTTTTTGTTTATAACCACTAATTGCCACGAAAATACAGTATAATCAGCTGATTGGTGTCCGGTAAAACTCATTGCAGAACAGTATTACGCAATGAAACCCCATTTGAATAAGCTGGCGGCAAACAGCTGTTTTCTGGACTAAATCCTTGCGTGGAAAGTTCATCAAAATAATGTAGTGTGGCGTAAATAAATATGAATGTTACTGCCAATATTACTGCTGACGGTAATTATAATAAACTTGTATTGCCAATCTGTACATTTTGTACATTTTTTATGTATTGGCAAAATATTTTCTCGTTATCAATAAAGAAAATATATAGAGTAAAGAAATAACAAAAATATAATATTATTTGAATAGGGCCTAGTTGAATATTATTCTAAGCAATTAATTAACTTAAAACATTAAATAATTGTAAAACATAGTATACAAATAATTCTATGGATAGTTTACGCTATGTAGGTAACTGACTAAATTTTATTTTATTGTATTTATTTTATTTGATTTACATGCTTCAATACGGTATACACCATTTACAAAATGATGTACAAAATGATTTAGTATAACCATGGTATAACTTGAAACTGTATGTATTTTTCAGATTCAGAAACTACCCATCGGAGTAAGTCAAATACAGGCTTCCCTATTTCCCCCCACGCTGTAAATAAAACAAGTGATTGTAATTTCTCCTTTTGTTTTGATTTTCTGTTTATATTTCGTTGTTATTTCGTTACCAGCATGGCAACCCATTAGATCCATGTTAATTTTTCCAAAATTTTAAACTCATTTTTGTGCTTATTTTTGAGACTATTTTAATTTATAAAGGGATTCTGCATATCTACAGGAAAATATCTTTCCAACAGTATGCGTAGATTTTCTCTGCGATGAACACAAGCTGAGAAAAAAGGTTTTAAAGAAACGTGCTTGCCGATTAATATATAGATAGAAGATAGATAAATAGATAGATATCTCAATGGGAATGGGTACAGCTTATAGTATGTGTTTGTAGGGAAGGCCGTGGATTATTCATTCTGATTGATAGCTCTCCTTGCGGAAAAGGAAGTGGATTCTTATTTCTTTCTTGTTCTTTATACTTCATGTGCTTTCACACTTTCACTGCTTTCATCCGTTTCATAACCCCATAGACTAGACACTACTAGACAGTGCAACTGCAATGAAATGCATTCACATTCAACACAACAAGTCTAAAATGTTTAATGTTAAATCCTCCTAGGTGTGGTTAAAGTACCATATTGTTTTTAAATATTGCTAGTTGAAGATGATGCAGAAGGAAAATTCCTGAACTAACCTTGCTACAGGCAGAATGCAGAATCAATGTGTTTGTTTGACTGAAAGATTAAGTTCTTATCCAAGAACAAACCCAGAAATTTTACTTGAGCAGTGGTTTCAGTTTCAGTGTTGTCCAAAATAAAACTTCGTGGTTTTCCTAATTGAAAATTCAATAAGTTGTGATATGATGAATTTGTTTTGAGGAGATTTCACCAAAGCACTGTAACTTAACAATCAACTGGCTTATAGCCTATGAAAGGATTCATGTCTAGGCCTAGTTCAAGTTGGCTTGAGCTGGAGATAGGGTATCGTCAGCAAAAAGACATATTCCGCCCTTTTTCACAACTGATGGGGAGGTCGATGAAAAGTGAGGAACAATATTGGACCAAGATTTACCTCTAAGGCACTCCACCGACGCAGTGCCAGTAGAGGATCTGTGAGCGAAGACACCCAGAGCTATCCACTGGCACATACTGCTTTCAGCTCCACAACATGTCTTCAGTTGGCAAGGTAAGAAAAAAGCCAATGTAGTAACTTAAGTTTCAGTTCTCTAATTCGACAAGAGTGTAACTTCTCCTTGAATCATTCGCTTTGTGTCAAATGCTTTGGTCAGGTCGAAAAAGAAGCCCAAAGCTTTAATTCTCACCTCTATCCAGCACGAGCTTAGTTGATGCAAGGTGATAAATTGCATCTATATTGTAGATCTGTTTTAGACAAGGCCAAACTACTGTTAACTCGTGAGTATATATATGCGTCATCATTTTACAGTTGAAATCCCAGCAATTCGTTGGGTAAAATAAGATGGAATTTGGCACATAACTTGTAGGCCTACAGCTGTTGTTTAGTACCGCAATTGTGGATCTATTATTAAATTACCTACTTTTATCATCGACGTTCCTAAAATTTATTGTGTTTTTAATTTGTATATATTTTTAAATTGTAGGCTTACCCCATAACTTTGCTTTTATTTTTTCCCTAACTTATTTTACATAAAATTTAGATTTCGTTTGCCTCACAAGTTTTCTAAAATTGGATTTTATTTTTAAGTAACATCTAGGTCATGTTTTGTAAGGAAAATCTTTTGTTCGGTTGTCTAGCTAACTTATACATGATGGCCCAGGTCAATCATTTCTGTCCTTTTTTTGGCCAATTTATTTGTCCAAGATTACCGGACCTGAGTTTTTTTTTCTTTCCAATTAGCCTATAGTACAATCCACACTAGTTTATCCACCTACTCTTTACTGTATTATTGATGGAATTTTAAAATTAACATCACCTAACTGGACTAACACTTTCTCCGATTAGTTTGCAACAACCCAACTTTTCTCTGGGAAAATCACAAAAATTGCAATAACTTTTGAACCGCAATTGTTATACCATGGAGCGCTATACAATTTTGTTTAAAGTTAAAATTACCAAAATACTATACTAATTAAAAACCTACCAGGCCTAAAAAAAAACTATAAAAGGTATAAAATTACCTGAGTACGGTACTGCCAGGTCTAAGGAGCCTTGGTCACTAACAAGACTACAAGATCGCGCCACTCATCCTACACTCATCTCCGGCTTA